TCAATGGTAAGATACGTGTCCGTTGACAACGCTGCTCCTATGATGATCATGTCAAATTCAAGATCTGTCAGCCCAGTTTTAGAGGTGCTCATAAAGGTTAAGTGTATATAGGCGCGTTTTATAAGGGTGATTGTGCGTGCATGCAAGGCCGACACTGGGAAGGTGATTCAGGTGCCACCGCCTAGGGCAGGCAGGGGCCTAGGTCTCTGTATGCAACCCTCTAGCCCTGTAGCCCATTAGTAATTATGGGCATGTTTGATTGGCTAAGGGTAATTGATAGTTAGAGTTAGAGGCCTCGTTCGGCTGGTGCTAAAAAAGCACTATAGCCGGCTGAAATTTACTGTAGCCGGCTGATTCCTCTCACATATTTCTACAGATTCATCCAGATTCCTCCAAGCGAACGGGGCCAGAAAATAGTTAGCTAAAACTTAGCCAGATAACTATTGGTAGTACTCCGACTAATAGTTGCACACATCTCTAGAAATGAATTGTTAGTCCTTATTAGCTACTTGTGCTTGGCTAATAAGCTAATAACTAGTCAAGGATGATAATTTTTAGCCCACCTGTTTAGATCACCTAAGGATGACTTTTAGTAGCTAACAAAAAAATTAGCAAACAGGCCCCATATATGCTAGTGCTCAAGCTCCCAACAAAAGCCCCAAGAGGGAAGCCAAAGCGATCAGGCTCTGCTTGCTTCAAGTCCTAAACAATCCGTCTTCGAGTCGTGACTCCCGATCAGTCGACTGATGACTGTGCGCTCGTTTGTTTCAAACATGCGAAATTAGGTAAACATATGTATATTTTATCTATATATATACGTAATATATAAACATACACATAGCACTTGTTAGGCTTTATCATTGCCCAGCGCTACGTGCATGTATCGTGTATGTATGTACGTGAATATTTGCGTCTGTCTTACAATTCGGAGGAAAAAAACTGATGTTAACACAAGCTTTAGCGAATCATGTCTGACGTTGTAGATGTTTGTGTTTTTTTAATATAAATCTGGTGTAAGCAAAAGAAGTTTAACTTTGAACAAATTAAAACGACTTGCAATTTGCTAGAAGGGAGTAGCCAGCGGAAGGTGGGTGATTAAGAACTTGATCAGATGAAACTTGTCTTACATCAGTGCTTGTATGATTCGTGCAGCAATGCGCGGTAGAGAGGACAGCTGACCTCACTAGTCACAACCATATTTTAATTTGTTACTCCTAGTCAGCATTATCTCGTAAACTAATTGAACAGAAGAAAACAAAAGGAAATCACCCTTAAATACCTCTAGCTTGCGAGCCGTGAGCTGCGGCTCTTGGGAGTGCAGAGGAGATGAGGAGCATGAGTGACCTGCAGGAAATGGCCGGCAACGTTCCGCGCCGTGCGCTGCGGACTGTTGCGTTGCAGGGGAGCGGGAAGAGCAGGAGGAGGAGGAAGATGGCGGTGGCCAGGCTCGGGGGGAGCGGCAGCAGGCCGCGGCGCAGATTCCTGGGGACGACAGCGCTCCGCAGGCTGCGCCTGCGGTGGGTGACGGCGCTGTACAGGCGAGCCCTGCGGCGGCTGCGCCAGCGAGGCCGTCCAGCGCGTCCTCGAGGGAGCCGCACTGGTCGGCGCCGTGCGCCTGGACGCCGGGGTCTGAGCAATCCGCTCGTGCCTCGTAGCCCGTGGCTGGCTGTCCGACGCGCATGCGCGCGGTGGGATTCTGACGGTGGCTGGTAGAGCTATGCGCGGTTGCGAATGTTACTCATTCGTACGCATGGCATACGTACAGTACCAAGCAAAGCAACGAGTGGAAAGTGCATTTCTCGATCCAAAAGATCCTAGTACTACTGTCTTTACATTTTGTGTCTCTTGATGTGTGGAGTGTGTACACTCCCGATATCTCGAACTAGAACCATAGGCAGACCCAGACGCTTTACTTTCCACGCGGCGTTTCCCTGGCCGAACGCAGAGCGTAAGGAGACCGATCAGGCGGACCGTCTCAAATCAAATCAGCAGCCGGAAAAGCGTTTAGAAAAAGGAAGCCACCGAGCCGCGTGACTCGGCAGTCCGCAACAAGAATCACGGCAGTCACGCGTCCTCGTTCGACTACTCTACTCGGCCTCCGTCTGGAACGAACACGCATACGGCCCCGCAGCCGCCGCCGCAGCAGCAGCAACAGACAGAGACGCGCGGGCGAGTCCACCTCCACTCCACCGGACCACCACGGTCCACCACCGTCCACGCCGTCGACGGGCGCCCACCAAGTCACCAACTCATCACCAAACAATGAACGTCACGGTCCCCACTCCCCAGCAGCCGCGCGCGGCTCGCGGCCCCTAGCTTTCCTCCAGATCTTCTCTGCCTCTGCCGCCGAATCCCCGCAGCGGAAGGAAACGGAACATTCCCCCGTCCCCTCGCTCTCGCTGACAGTCCCCACGCGCACGGCACGGCACGGCCGGATCCCGCAACCGCCAGAAAGAAAGTGCCGACCGCGATGGGACCCGGTGGACCGAGCTGGAGCGCCCGAGCCCACCGCAGGATGCAACAACCATAATACTCGCAGTCGGTCGTTGCAGGCAACCCGTCCGGACACGCACTACTACGAAAACGAGTTAGAGCAACGTCTACAGATGAGCCGCTGTGTGACCGATATTATCAGCCGCTTTATAAATGGCCCAATTTGTAGGGACGGCTCTATATCTAGCCGCCCCTACGAATCGAATTTGTAGGGGTGGCTCAGTATTGAAGTGCCTCTACACGCTAAGTATTAAAAATTAAGCACTAAAATTTAAATTTTATAAACGATCTAGGATGGAGAAACAACCAAAATAAAAGTTATAGATCTCGAAAAGTTATGAAACTTTGTAGTTGATAACTTTTTATTTGAAATCATCTTGTCAAGGAAAACTACGTTTGAATTTTCAAAAATTTAAAATTTGAATTTTTTAAACGACCTCGGATGGACAAACAGTAAAAATGAAAGTTGTAGATCTTGAAAAGTTATGAAACTTTATAGTTGATAACTTTCTCATTTGAAATCATCTTGTCATGCAAAACTATATTCGAATTTCTTAAATTTGAAATTCAAATTTTATAAGTGACCTCGGATGGAGAAACTACCAAAATGAAAGTTGTAGATCTCGAAAAGTTATAAAACTTTGTAGTTGACAATTTTTTCATTTGAATTAGTTTAGTGCCTCAAATAATCAATTTATGCTCAGTTTTGTATAATATGTGGGGAACCAAAATGGAATGTAGACACAAGTGATCGTGATCGTGAGGTGCAGTGATAGAGGACTTTATGCGCGAGCGAGATGTCGCGGGTTCGAAACCCGGCCGACGCAAAGTGGTTCAAAAATCGTGAAAAAATGCTACAATGGTAGAGTGAGGGTGTGTATGGCCCCCGGTGGAGATCTCCTCGGATAAAAAAAAATTTGCTATTTTTTGCCCTTTTTTTTCGTGATTTCTGGAAATTGATTTGTAAGGGCGGCTCAATATCCAGCCGCCCCTACAAATCAATTTGTAGGGGCGGCTGGGAAAACCGTCCCTACAAATCAGCGATTTGTAGCCACCCTTTCATAGGGGCGGCTGACAAAACCGCCCCTACAGAGGGTTACCGGCCGACCCTAAAAAATGTTTTCTACGTAGTGACGTTCTTGGGCCAACAAACCGGCGGTCCAGGCAACCGGCCTGTGTTCTCATTTCCTCACTCACCCAACCACAGTAGCGGTCGAGGGCGCCTCCACTGCGCCTTACGCCCGCCGTGGCTGCCTTCGCCATGCCACCTGCCTCGACCTCGACATCTGCCCCGCGCGGCCGCTCCACCGCGTTGTCTGCTCGCTCCACTCTGTCTCGCCCACGGCGGCCATCCCCGTCCGCACCCCATCCCGCGTCGCGTCCGCCCCAATCTTGCGCCCTGCTGCGCGGGACGTCCCCCCGCCGCGCCCCATCCACCTCGCCCGTCGCGGCTATAGCCTGCACCATGCCACCACCACTACCTCGGCGCCACCAGGAGGAGGTTGCCGCCAGTACCGTAGTTTCCCACTAGGTCGTCCATGGTCGTTGGCGACGTCGTGTTTGGAGTGTTTCATGCCTATGTTTCAGTTGTTTTGGACATTTGTTTCAAATGTTTCATATAGATGTTTTAAAAGTTGATCTTGGTATTGCATATGTTGCAATACTACACACGTATGTTTCAAGTGTTTCATCTGTTTTAAACTTATATGACAAATGTTTCGTCTGGATGTTTCAAAAGTAGATTGCGGTATTGCACATGTTGCAATGGCTACATACACATGTTTCAAGTGTTTAATCTGTTTTCAGATTTATCTTGCAAATGCCTTATCGAGATGTTTCAAAAGTAGATCGGGTGTTACATGCCGTCGTCCACTTGCTGCTGCCGGTGCGCCGCCGTAGTTCATGTGCCGGAGCGCAGACGCCTCCGCAGCGCGCATCTGCAGGCAGGGCAGGTGGCCGCGCGTTCCACCGTGGGGGCGTGGAGCGCGTTCCACCGTGGGGGCGTGGAGCGCATTCCACCGTGTGGACGTTGGATGGGCGCAGGGGCGTGGTTTCTGCCGTGCGAGGCGCGGGATGGGTGCGGGCTACGGTTTCGAACGCTGACGCTAGTTGGGAATGGGATGTAACGCGTGGGATGCGATACATGACGGGAGCGCGGGAGGTGTGTCTGGACACAGGCATGGGACCGGAGGACCGGACATCCGGACGCTAGTGGTACCGATAACAACACGATACATATGGGAGGTTGGGGCGGAAAATGGAAGTTTACCGTGTCTGCCTGAACTGAACGGAGAAAAAAGAACGGACGGCAGCAGCCTCGCCCTCGTAGTGGTGGACTGGACCGCTACCACCACGACTACTGGTACTACTGCAGATCAAGCGACCAAGACCAGTGAGACGCGTGGGGACTTGCAAGAGAGAGAAGGGAGCGGCCACCGGCCAGCGGGGCAGGCAACCCAACGCGATCTCCGGAGCAGGCAAGGCCGGGCCGGTGCGAGGCGGGGGCCATGAGGATCCGGAAGCGCCCCCCTGCCAGGGCAGCATCGCCGGGACCGCCGCCGCCTCCCCTGTCGCTGCAGCAACCCATGGTGAGATGCCGGCGCTTATTGCTGGCCTGTGTGTATCTGTTGCACGAGCCGCGCGGGCTGAATCGTCGTGGGCGTTGGCGTGCCGGTTCCCGATCGGTTCTTGTGCCAGGGGCCTGTTCGCCTTCCGTGCCGGGAGGCCGGGAGGGGAGGCGGTGATCTTTCTTTCCTCCCGTTCTGCTCACCACTTGCCTGCCTGCCGTTCTTGGTGCAGGAGAAACCACGGGAGGAGGAGGACAAGGAGGCAGAGGAGGAGGAGAAGCGGGCGATCCTCGCCGCCGGAGTCCGAGACGACGACCGGGTCCGCCCCACCGCCGCCGCGCCTGCCTCTGGGAACAGGAACATGAACATGAACAGGTGTGTGTCAAGATCCTCTGTTCAGGTGTCCCTAGGAGATCTCTCTCGGGTGGGGTAGCTGAGAAATCGCTTTCTTTCCTTCTTTCTGTCCCTTGTCCCGCGCAGCAGCGCAACGGACGACGTGCCCAAGACGGAGCCGCAGGACGCCGCCGCCACCAGGTGCAGCCGGAACGACGGGAAGCGGTGGCGCTGCAAGAAGGCGGCCGTGCCGGGGTACCTGTTCTGCGACCGCCATATCGCGTGGTCCACACGCAAGCGCAAACCCAGAGCCAAGGAGCCCAAGAGTCACGGCAGCGGCGTCCTGGAGCCCACCACCACTATCCCCAAGAAGTTCGCAGAGGAGCACGGCGAGACGCAGCGCAACGCCGGGTTCTTCGGTGGCTTCTAGCCGGGCTGCCGGAAGCGAGCGGGCGGGCGAACGGCGGCGGGCCTGCAAGGGCAGTGCGGCGATCTACTTACCATAATTTACCTTTACTACTAACCAACTGATTGATAGTAGTTATCCATTTTGTGTTGCGTGCATCTTTCTTCGATTTTAACTTGCTGCCGTGGTATGCTCGTATCGTATAGGAGTAGCTACCAGTACTCGTGTTCATCCGAAGGTAAATGTCGCGATGCCTTTTTAGGCAGAATCCAGGACCTGATGCAAAAGTAGGCAGTTAAATAGGGGGGCATTGATCATTGGTTGTGACTTGTTCTTCTCGAGCTATTTGCTTTCGCCCTATATTATCTCTGTTAGGTGCGGTGGAATAAGCATGCATAAACAACCCTATTCGCTTGAGCTACTTTTCAGTATAAAATAGTGTTTTTCTCTTACAATCAGCATAAATATCAGCATAAGCCAAATTTCAACATAAACGAACATGCTGAAGGATTGCTTATTAAAAAAGCGCCTTCTTATGTGCGTGATGCAGCCCTACAGGAACAGGTATAGCCCACAAACTCACATATTTCATCTTGCATGCTTACACTGTTTTTTTTAGGGAACCAGGAGGGGCACACCCCTACTCAAAATATATTAAAAGGCGCCAGGAGCGTAGGAAACAGTACAGGGGGATAATTTAAGAAACATAGAAAGAAATAAAAAAAAGGGTGACAACAAGCCGTAACCAAGCTAAATAAGATTGGAGAAACATAGAAAGAAATAAAAAAGGGTGACAACAAGCCGTGACCAAGCTAAATAAGATTGGCTATCCATCGATTTAACCAAGGGAAAAGCTTCACTTTGTTCTTGTCTGAAATCATCTTTAGACTGCTGAATAGATGGACTGACCTGGGGAAAGATCATGTCATTACGCGCTTTCTAAATTGTCCAACTCATTAACACGATTATCTCCATGAAGAATGGGACTTCAAGCTGATCTTTGAAGCTCTGAAGGCTTTGGAAGGGGTCAAGTGTTTGGTCAGTCTGAATGCCAAGCCAGGCCTAGCACTAGACAGAGAGGGGGCAGTTGAGAAATAGATGCATCAGCCACTTTTCAAAACCATTGCACATAATGCAATTGTAATCTTGTAGTGTCATATTCTTTCTCCTCAAAAGCTCTCTAGTGCTCAACCTGTCCTTGATCAACAACCAGAAAAACACTTTGTGTTTATTTTGGCATGAGCTTCTCCAAATCCGTTTGTAGACCGGGTGCAGATGCATATGTCCACTTAGTTGTTTATAGGCTTTGTTCACTGGGAAATGATCTGATTTTCAAATATATGACCATTTATCTGACAAATCATTGAGGTTGACTCTTGTAACTCCTCTTGTAATTGCAGCAATTGAGGATGAGCTTGTTGGGAGATGGGTAGATGGAATAGACCATGAAGAGGGATGTGTCCTTTTCCCTCAGCAAAGACAATGTGCTTCTTTCATCCAAATGAAAATAGCTCAGGCATCTTGTGGACCAGTGGCTGGTTTCCCCAAATGTCTTCCTAGAAAAGACAAGATTTTCCATTGTTGACTGTAACTCTAGCCATCCCTTTAAACTTGTCTAGAAGCTTCAAAACATCCCTCCACCAAAAGAACCCCTTCTTTGAATTCCCAGGCAATTTTCCAGAACCATAATATTGTTCCCCAATCAAAGAGACCCAAGACAAGTCCTCTCTGTTGAAGAATTTATGTAAATGCTTAATTAGCAAAGCTTCATTCTGGGTTTTGATATTAAGGACTCCCAGCCCACCTTCCTCTTTGGCTCTACACTACATTGGCCATGCTGTCTTTGACTTTTGCCTAGCATTTATGTCAGCCCCCATCCAGAAGACATAGTTTCCTGAACTTATCTATTTGATCAATCATTGTTTGCTGCATTAAGAAGGTGCTCATGCAAAATGTTAGTAAGACAGAGAAAATTGAATTTGTGATCTCTAGTCTGCCTGTCTGATTTAGGAATGCTGATGTAGTAGTTCATATCTGTTAACTAATGGGGAGACATCAATTACCTTTGGCTTAGATAGGCTTAATGGCAGGCCCAAATAAGTAAAAAGGTAAACTTCTAGTTTGATAGTGGAAGGTTCTTGCTAAGTGTTGCAACTTTGCTTCACTTATGTTGATGGGTACCATCATGGATTTTGCAAAATTTACTTTCAAACCTGTAGATTCTCCAAAGGTTTTGAGGAGGGCGCTTTAAGGGTCCAAAGTTGTCTGCTATCTGCATACTAAATTACTGGGAAAGTCAGATGTTGATTAAGGGGAATTGAGCTTGGCCGTCACCATCTACCTCGCCGAACAGATCGACATCGCCGGCCAGCCTCTTCGCCGCGTCCTCCACCTCATCTTTCAGATACTCCTCTTTCGTCGCACTCGTCCATCTGGCGAATCCCCTATCGCTCAAAGATTGATCACAGGGTAGTGGGACCAGACCACCGCCAGGGCATGCGTCACGATGGAGACAGTGGCATCTCGGTTGAAGCATTTGAAGTTTTCCCATGCCGCCTTGCACCGGTCAATGATGGCGTTCGGACGGGGCGGCCTGTCGTCGGGCTGAGGAGCTACCTCCATATCGATACAGTCGAGCACCGGCCTGACTCCGGCTACCACGGCGTCAAATTTTCCCCTCTCGACTTTTGCATCCAGCTCCAGCACGTCGAACCATGCCTTGGTTTTTTGACGGTATTCTGCAGACACCAAAGGGATTCGTCGAACCGAAGAAGTCATTTCAGCAACAACCCTGACCATAAACTACTCACCTTCCAGATCCTTGGCCAGTTTCTCTGCTCGCCCAGACGCCTTCTCCTTCTCCTCTTGGAGTCGACCGACGACTTGACGCAGTCGTTCGAGCTCCACATCTTGCTCTACAAACACAGTAAACAACGGCTACATTATGGTCGGTCGACAATGCGAAACAAGCTCATCGATTGGGGATACCCTTTTTCTGCTCGGAGATGCCTTTCAGCTGCTCGGACGTGTCCCTCGGCTGCACGGAGACGGTTCTCAACTGATCGAACAGGGTCCCCTTTTGGTACTCCAGGTCCTTCGTGTTTGATTCAGCAAGATCCCTTTCGCGCTGAGCCCTCTGGACGTTCTTCTCCATCAATTTCATTGCCTCCCTCAGTTTCTTGTTCTCCTCGGCGAGGGGCTCCATCATTTTGATCAACTGCTGCCGTTGTTCGTCAGTCCGCGCTATACCCTGCAAAGCACCAAGATTATAAAAGACCATAGTCTCCAACGCCAAAGACAGACACCGCTGACGCAACACTAACCTCAATTTGCTTCATAGCTGTGCAAAGGGTGGATTGTAGCCTCTTCACCTCCCTGGTGGTGTCCTCCTCTTCTACGACCATAATTTCCTCCCCTTGCTAGCGAAAGATGCGGACGGTCTGAGGTTGTGATCCTCCACGCTCGATCTCCTTGACCCCATTCTCTTCCTCCACAGCCGGTGGCGCTCCCTAGGGGCTCGATGGCCGCACAGAGCGACCGACCTCGCCCTACGGCATCTCAGGGTGCGTCGCTTGCTCCTCCGACGCTGTCGGCCCTTGCGCCCCCGATTCCGGCATAGCTTCGGCAGCTCTCGCTTCTGCCTTCAAAGACTCGGTGGCTCTCGCTGTTGCTCCTGGCGTCTTTGTCGAATCGCCCATCGTTGTCGCCGACCGCTCTCCACCTCCAACTCCATCAGCAGCGGTGGTCGAATCCTTCACAAATCGACGAGCGCCCGAGGATTCTGGGACGGAGTCTGTCCGCAATGTCTCCATGCTAGGACTAGCCCCTTGCTGCTCACCAATCTGGCCTAAAGGATTCAGATCCTTCGCACACCCGTTCTGCATCAGATTAGCCCATCGATCACCACCACTGTAAAGATCGGACAGCAACCGATCCCAAAGTAAAGATACTTACATGTTAGCTGTGATAGAACCGTCTAATCTAATGCCTCCCAGGAGTGCTCATCTTCCATTAGACACTAAGCACCCAAGGGAGAACACCAAATTACCCGGTTCCGTCGGGCACACCCCAGGGGAGAACCCGAAAATCCACATTTTTCCATCAGGATCACAAATGAGAGAATAAAGCTTACAGCATTCTTAACCATTTCTTACATCACTTTACATGTACATCAGAGTTTAACATTTATTGTCATAACAGCGAAATGTAATCATATTATCAGAGTTATGAACAATTTAATGTAAAAGCGGAATATAAACATGTGATCATAATTACAGCGAAAATAATTATCTATTCATGGCATGGTGAAACATTGATATGTAATCTATGACAACAGATTATAAAACTTTTCTTTATAAAACATTTGGTGAGAGTTATAAATAAAACTATGATCACAGCGTAAAGGAATCCTCGCTGAGCCCACTAGGAGTTATCCACACACAAGGGTCAGCTCTAGCATCCACCTATCACCTGCAACAGGGGGAATAAAACCCTGAGTACTCAATTGTACTCAGCAAGACTTACCCGACAGGAGGAAAGAAAAGACTCCAAGGATATGCAAGGCTATCTGGCTTGTGGGTTTATTGCATTTACAAGAAGCATTACTAAGCGTGCGTCCTTATATTCGATTTTTATTAATGACAGCATTGGTTCATTAACTAACCGTTGTATGTAAGCACCTGTGCTACTTTCAAGCAGGTGGTAAGTAATCTGATTTCCTTTTCTTTCCATCTTTCATCTTTTAGTTCTTACTACGATGCTAAGCCGTAGACAAGCCGTACCGAATTGCCCGACGATTCGCGAATCAATGCCCCTAGCTGGGTACCCCAAAAACACACGTCCCGCTTGTACCCCGGGCACAAGCAGGACCAACCCGTCACCCTTCTGTCCTAGGTGTCCAGGTCCCCATCCAAACTAGGACTCCAAGCCCCCGCCCCTAAGTCCTAGACTCAGTGCGGTGCAAGGACCTCCTCCACCAAAACAAACCCTGATAGTCGGTCCGAAAAGAGCTAGATCCACGACAA